TTCTCCATCCAAGTTCTTTAAATGTAAAAGAGGTCTTAAACAAGGAGATCCCCTATCTCCTATGTTGTTTAACATATCAGTTGATGTTTTGAGTAAAATGATTATGTGCAATGTGGAAGAAGGATCCTTATCTAGTCTGCACATTAAGGAACCTCTAAATCTTATAAGAAGCTTACAATTTGCAGATGACACTCTAATTTTTGTTAGAAGTTCTATCAAAGACATATCTGCTCTCAAGACTATCTTATATATCTTCGAAGATATCTCTGGTCTGGGTATTAATTTTACAAAATCATCTTTGATTTATTTTGGGAATATTCAAAACAGAGGAGACTCTCTAGCTACAGCTCTAAACTGCAAATTAGACAAACTCCCCATCAAATATTTAGGCTTGCCTTTGAAAGGAGGCAAATTATCTAAATCAGATTGACAACCTTTGTTAGATAATTTGCACCGAAAGCTTGCTTCTTGGAAGAGTAACTGCTTATCTCTGGGAGGTAAATTAATACTGTTGAATTCGGTTCTATCTTCCATCCCGTTATATTTTATGTCTTTCTATAAGCTACCAGTATGGTTGATCAAAGACATTGACAAAATTAGGAAGAATTTCCTCTAGACAGGAAAAAGTGATTCAAAACCTTTCAAATGCTTGGTAAATTGGAAAAGGGTTTGTCTAAGCAAATCAGAAGGAGGTTTAGGAGTGAAGAACCTCAGAATTTTCAATCTATCTCTACTGTCCAAATGGTTATGGAAATGCTATGACAAAGAATCTTTTATTGGAGCTCTCCTTCATCAACTCTATATCAGAAAAGTTTCTTTCTTGCAATTAGCTAATAGCAATGCCTGCAATTCCCCTTTTTGGAATGATATCATCTCATATAAGGAAGTCTTTCAAAATTTCATATATTGGTCTCTTGGTTCAGGAAAGAAAATCAGATTTTGGGAGGACAAATGGATTGGTTCAAATAGTCTATCAAGTTTATATCCGTCCTTATACAGGCTAGCTTTCTCCAACAATGTTTCCATTAGTAGTCAAGGCTGCTACCAAAATAACTTATGGCACTGGCACCCTCTGCTGAAACGTAGTATCTCATCTGAATCACTTAAAGATAAAACTGATCTCTTGAATCTTATTAGTCTGCATAGTGTGACAAATCAGACTGACTTTCCTCGATGAATCTTATTAGTCTGCATAGTAGTCAAATATGCTTTCTACAAATTAGCATGGAATCCTATTTTGCCTAGCAAAATTCAAATGTTCACTTGGCTTCTTTCCCAGAACCGATTACATACTAAAGAAAATCTTATGAAAAAAGGGTGGCAAGGAGATCCTAATTGTGTTTTATGTGGCATTCAGTCTGAAACAAAGAACCATATCTTCTTCCAATGCACAACAGCTAAAGTGGTCTGGCAACACTTTAGAGATTATTATTTACCTTTCTGTTGGCCATCATCTATAGATGATCTCCTGATTTCTGTTTCAACCTTGCATAATCTGGATGGTATTTTGTGGCGCACTCTTATTTTGACTGTTTGCTGGTTTATATGGTCTTCAAGGAATAAATTTATCTTTGATCAAAAACCTTTCTCTGCTCAGTCAATTATTAACACTTCGATACTGGCTCTTCATGATTGGGCAGGTTCTGGTAAAAGGAATGCAGCTCTTCAGTTAACAAAAGTTTTAAAAGAGAAGCCTATTGTTCGCAGCAGTGGCTAAGAAAGTTGGGGTTTTTTGGTATCAGGTTTTGTTTGTACATATTAAATATTGATGTTATACTTTTGTTTTATAATTGGTCTATAGAAAATTTAATTTCTTTTCTCCAAATGTATGGCCAGCTTTGGTTCTCCTTTATATCCATGTCAACGATGAATGACGGCAAGGCCCTCTCTTCATCTTCATGGATGTTTGGGAGAAGAAGGTTATACATCAATAGTCAAGAGAAATTAAGTTTTCTATCTACCAATTAATGGATACAATTCGTATCCTTCTTTTGTAACTACTTTTGATTTTAATGAACAGGGTATATCCCTTGTTTTTTCTGTCAAAAAAAAAAATTCCCAACAACTACAGTTTTGAGTCTTTGAATGTAATTGTACCTATAGTTTTAAGTTCTACCTTCCTTGATGGCTTGATCACTTTGTTGAAGTCATGAACATTTCTTTCATACGTGGACTAGGTTTATTAATTAGGGGTGCTTGATTGTTTAATTACAATATAATTGATCGTTTGGGTGTTCAATTTGCTTAATTGAACTTATATTTGTTAGGTGGTGTTAATTACTATTGTATTTTAAAAGTTGTAATGTGTGTGTGTATATATATATATGTATAATCTTATGTAAACATAAGTGGATATGAGTTAGTTATCAACCAACTTTTTTATTTATTGATGTTGCCTTGAGATCCTTGAAAGATATGAAGAGTCTTTTAAAATTTGTGCATCTTTTGATGACACAAATCTAAAAACAAGATAAGTGGATAAAAAGTTTGGTGGACAATGCATTCTATCCACTTAAGTTGACATAAGCTCATACATATATATAGAATAAGACTCCTATCAACTTAAGTTGACGTCCACTAAACTTCCTAGCCACTCATTTATTAATATAAAAAACCATTTTATATCATGTAAGGATCCCTAGGCAATATGAATGGCTAAAAAGTTTGGTGGATAACTTTTTGCTATTCACTTAAGTTGACACAAGTTTTGCTCTATGTTGATGCTCGTGAACAAACAGTCGATGGGGGTCCTCCGCCGTCGGATGCGGTTTCGATCTTGGCGTCAGTGGGGGAAGAATAAGAGGATGAATGTTGGGGCCGACTCCTCCTCCGACTTTATGCTCGATTCTGAGCGCGCAGGGTGGGCTGATAGCCTGCACATGTAAGAATCGCAGGAGTACGGGGCTAGTTTTCCCGTGGTACCTCTGACGGTCAAGTCAGCTGTGAAGCTTGATGGAGGTTTTTTGAGAGGTCACTGGGCCATTGGGGTCCTTGCAGGGGGTTCCTCTCTAAGAGTTATTAAATTCTCTTTATGTAAAAAGAAGATCCAAAAGGGAGTAAAGTTCAGGTGTAAGAAGAAGCAGAGATCAGCCTCCCTGTCCTTACCCTCCTTACCTCCTTTTTATATTCCATTGCCTCTGAGATTTTGACTTTTCTTTTGCACAGGAGGGCGGTTGCTGGGCGGGCAGATAGACTGCTGAGTCATCCTTCTCCTTCCAGATGTCGGCTGGCGATTGGAAGGGAAGTCATTCGGGTACAGGAGAGATCTGTCTTCTCAGTACCCTGGATTTGTCAGAAGAGGTAGGGCGTATGATAGGTCGGCTGCGTGGCCGTTCTTCTCTCTCTAGGTGGCGGCTGATGATTTGATGAGAAGTCATTCGTGCACAGGAAAGCATCATGACAATCTTCTGAGAAATAACTTGTAAGCCGAATAAACGGCTTGGGCACGAGGTTTATCAAAATGGAGATCTTGATGGGTCTGATCGATACTGTTGTTTCGATTGACATCTGAAGTGAACTTGGTTGGCTTTTATCCCTTTAGCCGAGGCAGATTGATCTGCGAGCCATCATTATGATTTGGCGACCTGATAGTCGAGTGAGCTTCGGGTCGGGTATATAGTCGAGTCGTCTGCTCGAGGAGTCGTCTTAATTGCGAGAGGGCGACTGATCCAGTACTTCGAGTCGGTTATGATGATCTTTGATCGAAATATGGCTTGTCTGCTCGTCTGGTCGAGGGACTTGGCCTTGACTGGGCTTTTGAGCCTCTAAGTTGGTTTGGACCATAGCTCCCTTGTGCTTATGCAGACATTCTCCCGACATTTCTATCTTTGGATGGTAAATTACCATAATAGAAATGAAACAACTTAGTTTTTTTATATATATAGGAAAATGAGTATGTTTGGCACCAAGCACAAAATTTATGTTTGATAGTGAGGTGACATATTATCATCCACTCATTCAAATGGGGGGACCACATTCACATGGGTTGAATGTAGCATAAATTTTGTGCTTGGTAGTGAGATGTCTCATTCCTATGCACTCATTCAAATGATGGCATATCCACATACACTCTCTAACTCATGTGAATGTGGTCCCCCCATTTGAATGAGTGGAGGAGAATAATTGCTTTCTATAGTGTAGGAAAAATGACCAAACTATAAATCTCCAATCTTAGAGAGGATTTAGGGTGTGAATCTGACACCCCAATGTCACCTCATTCCAAACCCATTTACCTATTCCCAATCACATGGCGCCCTTATGCTTCCCCCACCCTTTTTTTTTTTTTTGAAACAAATAAGAGATTACAATTCCTATAATGATGCGAAACCAAACACCAAATTACAATCTTCAAGATTTGCATGAAATGCAATGGACTTCATTTCTCGCACGAGATCAATTTTTTATAATTTTAGAAAAAGTGAGTTGTTCTAGTTTAACAATAAGTCCTCTCAAAGAGATTAAAACACAGACATCCCTACAACCAGCTACTGAAACAGAGATATCTGTAGGTCCAAACACTTACGCAGAAGAACTAATTACAGGAATGCAAGAGAGAAAAAGATCAAAGTTCGGAAAATTAATTAAAAGTCCTGTAGATACCAGGAATTGAAATACGAAGATGAGCATTATGCAAAACACCATATTGGTTACTAAACATGAAGTACAGATGCAAAACCAATTGCATGTGAATTCAACTAAATAATGTTCATAAAAATTGAGACCCTTAGTGCACCGATAAAGAAAAGCGATAATATTAGAGTTAATGAGACTAGGAGATCTAGATGTAAACCTAGAATGACTTGGTTAGAAGCAATAAAAAAGGATATGATTAAGACTAATTTAACAGAGGAGATAACTCATAACAGAATTGAATGAAAAAAATAAAATTCACGTAGCTGACCCCAAACATTTGGGATAAAGGCTTGGTGGTGGTGGTGGTTGTTGAATCTGAGACCTCATATTCTCAAGTATTAAAGAATATACATTGTCACGTCCTACGGTTACAAAAAATTAAGAATAAATTCAACAACACAATTCAACATCGACGTCTCTTACAAAAATGTAACGAATGACATTTCCACAACAACAAATACATACTGCACCTTCTTTTATGAGATGGGGAAAAAAGGCTTCCACATCAATAAACAAAACCCCCGAGGTTCACCATTCCAAAGGGAGATGAAATGTTTCTATGCATCCATAATACATTATATACGACAAAAAAATCTGTTACCTGTTCAAATACTTGTTTCAGGTCCAACTGGGTGTTATCCAAATTGGAGGCTGCTTCCAATGTGATTGAGGATGAGTGATCGGCTCAAGAGTTCGACCATCCAAGCTAAAAACCCAAGTCTCCCAGATATGAGACTGTGGATTATAAGTAGTAGATTCAACACTTCTGTTCTCAAAACTAAACCTCCGAGTTCCCCACTCCCTTCTCGGCTTCTCAAGATGTCCAGTAGTGAAATAAATACAGTTCCCTCGCAGATTCGCAAGGTCTCTCGATGACACACACAACGAACAGAACAAATCCAAGAAGAGAGCTCGGTCTCCCAAGCTCTCCACCTTGATCCATTCCTCGCTAATCAAATCCAGCTCAAGAACTACAAAATCCATTTCATCTCGCGCCCTCCAAACTTGCAAAAGACCCACACTTGAACCTACTAAATACCCATAAGAAATTTTCGATGGCAACCAACCAGGCAAAATTACCGATACAACTAAGGGAGAAGGGCCATTAAGGTCCCAAGCTACTACCGTTCCATCAAGGTCAAGGGTGTAAAATCTCTCGTTATGAACTGCCAGGTCAGCAATCCTTCGAGTACCTTCAAGTGAAGTCCACGCTTCATCTCCTTCTTTAGTGAATGCCAGATAAGGAGCCGACAGCAAAGCTAGCATAACTGTATAATGTGAAGAGCTCCATGAAACTTTGGCCATTCGATAAGGACGAGCCAAATTGGGTAATGTTGTAAGAGGAGGTAATTGGATCTGGGACCCGGTAAGAGGATTTAAAAGAAGCAATCCGGAAACTACGTCCATGGTCACAAGCCAACCACTAGAGGACCCGCACCAAGTACGATTGCATATAGGTGGATCCGGCTGGGAGATTTTGTAGATTTTATTTTCTGAGAGGTTGAAAAAAGTCGCGGTTTTGAGGGTGAGCTTGTTGACGAGCAAGAGCCATGGTGGTTGAGGAGCGGAGAAGAAGAGGGGATTGGAACGAGCAATTGAGTTCCAGGATGTGCATACTGAAGCTAAGCGGATGCGGTCAGGTAGCAGGAGGCGATGGATAACGATATCCAATATGTCCTGTGGGAGGTTGGCCCATGCGGTTGTAGAGGTTAGGTCAGTGTTTGAAGATTCAGAATTGGTTGGAGTTTGAGAGACTGTTTTGTGTCGCCAACACTTGAAAAATCTCTCTCGGAAGGTTTTTTGCTTGCGCATGCATAAAACCCTTGGGAATTTTGAGTCCTTGGGCATGTTGTTGGAGAGAAGCTGCTAACGAGTTGACGTGCCTGTGAGAAGAGGGATACCCTGTAACACAATTGGAAAACTTAATAACAGTAACGGAGTATAAATTATGCACAACATGTGAATAGAATGTTGAAGATTGAGTTATACTTTTGATAGTAGAGCTCAGAATCTATGACCAGTATCAAATATTTTGTTGTGTCAAGTTAAAAGAAGATCAACTACTTTAGACAGTGTTGGGTCGGAGTCACGCCCACCGCCGCGGAGGCGATATCACCTGAGAGAGAACCCTGGCCTTTGTTGTCACAAAAGCACAAGTCAACCTCTAAATTCTTGTTTCTCAAAGGAAACGAGAATAGATAATGAAATTCTTATTTCTCAAAGGAAACAAGAATCGAAAGTGATATATTTCATCAAAGTGAAATATACACTCTTCCTCTCATCAGTTCAAGGACTGAAATCTCGAGGGAACCTACAAGCTATGGCAACTCACAGATAAGACAAATACAAACACGAGATTTTTACGTGGTTCGGCAAACTAGCCTACGTCCACGGGAGGGGGTTTCACTATGGAGGAAAAATACCAAACTTATACAAATTCTCTCTTACTCTCTTTACTTTTCTCTCAAAATACTCCACTTGAGATTTTTTTTTTCACATATTTCCCCACTCAAAAACACCACCACCTCTCCTATTTATAGGAGAAACCAAAGGGCAAGGCTGAAGGAATTTGGCGGGCTGAAGGAATTTGGCGGCCTGAAAGAGCGCGCTGGAGAAATTCATGGCGGGAACTCTTGCGGCGGGAAAGGAACTCGCGGGAAAACTCCCGCGCTCGTGATCGCGTGCGCGCTCACGAAAAAAACGGCATCCTGGGCAGACACCCACACGTGGGTGGGCCCCTCCCGCTTACAATTCTCCAATATAGCAAGCTGTAGCAATCGACTCTGCCCACCATTCTTTGCCCAAACCAGCATAAGATCGCATACTCACTGCTTTCTCCTGCAGTGTTCGGTTCAGTCTCTCTGCGACCCCATTTTGTTGTGGTGTAGACCTGACTGTCCAGTGTCTGGCAATGCCCTCCTGATCACAGAACTCCTTGAAGGCACCATCTGTATACTCTGTACCGTTGTCAGATCTCAACGTCTTTAATTTCTTGCCCGTCCTGTTCTCAACCATCGCCTTCCACTTCTTGAATGTCTCAAATACCTCATTCTTATGCTTCAGGAAATACACCCAAGCATACCTCGAATGATCATCTATGAATGAGACAAAATATCTGAAACCACCATTGGAAGTTGTCGAAGCCGGACCCCAAACATCCGTGTGCACATAATCTAGTATCCCTCTGCTCTTGTGCTTGCTCCTCAGAAATTGAACCCTGTGCGCCTTTCCATACACACAGTCCTCGCAAAAATCCATGCAAGGCTTCTTCAGATTCTTCAGCAAACCCTCTTTACCAAGCAGATCCAGACCCTTCTCTGACATGTGCCCAAGCCGCCTATGCCATAACCGTGTGTGCTCACATTGGTCTCCACCACTTCCTTCAGCTTCAACTGCTGCATCTCCCATCACTGTCGTACCCGAGAGAGTATATAGATTACCGTGACGAACACCCTTCATCACTGTTAAGGAACCCCGAACAACCCTCTTCACTCCGGTTCTCTGTTACAATCTTGCAACCCCCGGAGTCCAAAGCACCGACTGAGATGAGATTCTTCCGCAAGCCCGGAACGTGTCGTACGTCCGTCAGGGTTCGAACCACTCCATCATGCATCTTGATTTTAATATCACCTAGCTCCACCGTTTTACAAGCATTGTTGTTCCCCATCAATACGGTTCCACCATCAATGCTCCTGTAGGTAGTAAACTACTTCCTGTTTGGACACATGTGGTAAGAGCAACCAGAATCAAGAATCCACTTCCCGGAGGTATCCTCGCCATCCGTGACGATATAACATTCCTTATCGCTCCCATCCCCTCTGAAGCGTAGCTCGCCTCTTCCTTGCCTTCTCGTCTTTCAGTCTTGTTGTTGTTCTTTTTCCCACCTACTCTCTTGTTAGGACAATCGACCTTGAAATGCCCAACTTCACCGCATTTGAAACACGCTCGTCCCGTAAGAGGTCTCGATTTAGATCTAGACTTTCCTCACTTGCCTTTTCCTCGCTCATTGCCTCTTCCTCTGGCAAACAGTCCCTGCGCTTGTTCTTTGTTACCACCAGTGACCATATCACTAGTTGTAATTTTTCGAAGATCATCCGCTAGAAGCGCCGTTCTAGTTTCATCCATCGATAAAGTATCACCCACAAGCATCAGTGTTTGTACCAGGTTCTCATAAGACTTCGGCAGAGATAGAAGTAGTAGAAGCGCCTGATCCTCGTCTTCCACTATCACCTCAATGTCTTTCAAGTCTGATAAGATCCTATCAAACTTGTTGATGTACTCCCGGATTGACGAGCCCTCCTCCATCTTGCAAGTATACAATTTGGATTTTAAATAGATCCGGTTCGTTAGACTCTTCGTCATGAAGGTGCTTTCTAACTTCAACCACACACCCGCAGCCGTTTCCTCCCCGTCTACCAAGAAAGCTACATCCCTCTCAAGGCATAGGATAATCGACGCTCGTGCTTCCAGATCCAGCTCCTCCCAATCCTCATCAGACATATTTTTATGCTTCTCTCTTCCAGCCAAAGCCTTGTGCAATTTTTGCGAAATCAGCGAATTTTTCATCTGCATCCTCCAATAGGAAAAATCATTTTTCCCATTAAATTTTTCAATCTCGTATTTTCCAACTTTACGTATTTTACTTGTAGAAGTCATTTTCCGCTTGTATTATGTCAATCCGCTTCTCTCAGGAATTTTTAACAATTTCTTTGTGTTTTACCATACCATATTCAACCACCACCTCAGATCAGAAATTTTACCACCTCCAGTCTGAATAAGGACTCTGATACCAATTGTTGGGTCGGAGTCACGCCCACCGCTGCGGAGACGATATCACCTGAGAGAGAGCCCTGGCCTTTGTTGTCACAAAAGCACAAGTCAACCTCTAAATTCTTGTTTCTCAAAAGAAACGAGAATAGATAATGAAATTCTTATTTCTCAAAGGAAACAAGAATCGAAAGTGATATATTTCATCAAAGTGAAATATACACTCTTCCTCTCATCAGTTCAAGGACTGAAATCTCGAGGGAACCTACAAGCTATGGCAACTCACAGATAAGACAAATACAAACACGAGATTTTTACGTGGTTCGGCAAACTAGCCTACGTCCACGGGAGGGGGTTTCACTATGGAGGAAAAATACCAAACTTATACAAATTCTCTCTTACTCTCTTTACTTTTCTCTCAAAATACTCCACTTGAGATTTTTTTTTTCACAAATTTCCCCACTCAAAAACACCTCCACCACCTCTCCTATTTATAGGAGAAACCAAAGGGCAAGGCTGAAGGAATTTGGCGGGCTGAAGGAATTTGGCGGCCTGAACGAGCGCGCTGGAGAAATTCATGGCGGGAACTCTTGCGGCGGGAAAGGAACTCGCGGGAAAACTCCCGCGCTCGTGATCGCGTGCGCGCTCACGAAAAAAACGGCGTTCTGGGTAGACACCCACACGTGGGTGGGCCCCTCCCGCTTACAGACAGCATTATGCCTAGGCTGTACATAACCTTCATCACAAACTACTTTTTATTTGAGTAAAGATAGAACTTTTTCTCAATGCTTCTATAAGTAGCAGGTAGTACTGAAGCTTGTGATGAATGTACTCAATTTAATATTTGAAAGTTTATGAAGTTTAGATCCCATCGCTTATGTTTATCTTTGTTTTTTTTAAACTTTGAATAAGAACTTCTAATTTCCATATGAATTTTTTCTTGATTCTGAGATTGACAAACATGTTAAACGTTCATAAAACAAGAGCAACTTTTACATTTGGTCAAACCGCACCACCTTCTTGGAGCAAGTGAAAATTACAAAATGAGTTTGGAAAATATTTTGTAATCTAATTTTGAATCTTTTTTTTATATAAAAGTGAAAAAACTGATTTTTCCTAATGTACTAACTTGGCCTGCTAACTATGTATAGCTCCTTTTATATTATTATTTTTAATTTGAAAACGTTGGTTTTCATTTACTTTTTTGTTAATTTCACTCCATTTCTATAGGTAAACCCCCACTGAATGAATTGACCCTCTCTCCTTTCCGCTTACAGACAAGGTAATACTTGATTTTTTGTCCTTTTGATTTTTCTATATCATATGCTCAAATCTATCATAGGACTAAATGTCAATAATCAATAATATATAAATTGCACATATCTCAAACATAAAATTTCAAATTCACAGATTTCGTATATTTGTAGTCAAGATGACGAAAGTACTCCAGTATGACATCATGTTGTTAACTCAACTATTCGGGTTTCTTGTTATAATTATATTTTGTAAAGTTTTAGTTTCATCTTCTAATGTGATGTAAGTTGATTTTTGTTTTTTATAAACTTTTATGTTACATCAATAGCTATTAAAGTAATCCATTTTCTCAAATAATATTTTTTGTTTGTCCATGTGTTCTCACAAGTCATAAATTTGTTGTGTCTACTCTTGGGTTCATTTATGAAGATGTTATTATTACTCCTTTAATTCGTTCTGTGTCTATTCCTTTTTTTGTTCATCTAGGATCTGAATTATTTTGGAGGAACCAGCCAACCATGCATGAACAAGATGTTTATCTTGTTGTTGAGCATGTGACGCATGGCTAGCTAGGTGTAGGACTAGGAGAAGGGGGTACAGGAGGTAAAATGTTTTCAAAAGTTTTTTGATAGACAAATCAAAGGAGAAAAAGAAGAATGGATTATGGTTTTTGTATAGAATCACACACAACCATAAACCTACTCTCTTACAGAGACAAAAGAAACACTTGTTTGCATTCCATTTGTATGGCTTTTTCCCCTATTCCCAAATTATTCCTAGTCCAAGTTAGACCAATGTTTAATGCAACTGCTTATGACTTGACTAGGGGTATGTTAGAGTTCATTAATAGCAATTGATTTAATGAATTTGTTATAATTTGACTAAAACACCCTCATCTTCCTCCTATTCTTCATTAATTTACACTTCTAACAAATTTAGAAGAATTTCCCAAAATAATCACTAGAATTAGAAACTCTTCTTATATTTATTAATTAACTTAAACCATCGATTAAGATTTAAGGCTTCAAATTGACGAACAACAAAATCTTCTTGCGTTGAAAGTTTGAATAGAATTTATATTGATATAGCAAAATGTAAGGACATTGATATTTATGGTTCATAATAATTGTTAAAGTGTGCACTATTTCATGATATTCATAATTTTTCATTCGAGGCAAAACTGGAAATAAGATAAAAAATATAAGTTTATGTTAGTTTTGTACTAATTGTCCTACATTATTGGCCACAAGGTAGGTTTTCTAAAATTTAGGACTTGTATGACCAGAAGTCGACACAGTTGTATTGAATGTTTAGCATATTACTTGTAAGCTCTCTTCATAACTTTCATTGGGTAACATATTCCTCATATCTCTACAGACAAAACATGTCACTATTGATGACATAAAGAAGCTAGCAAATAAAATTTCTGATAAGGAGCATAAGACTACGTTGATAGATATAGTGAATACTCACTCAGTGTAATCATCGCAGTCTCAACCTTCAAGTCTCTTGAAACAATAATATCTAAAACCCCTCTCTATCTAATGTATATAAAACACTCCTCTTTTCTCTCACCGGTGACCACATGAGGGTTAGGATTTTGAATTCTCCCCCGCCCCCCCGACCACAATCAGATACTCGTCCCCCATACTCCTGCTCTCATACCTCTCTATCACCCTAATCACCTCCTTATACAGCTCTTCAAATTCTAGTCCAAGCATCAACACAACTCTCTTCCTCACCAAGACAAAGTCCGCAACCTCATCTCCCCCCCCCCCCCCCTAACCACCAACACTTTCCCTTCATACCTCAAGCTCTCCCTTATCCTTCTCTTTACCACCTCATCACCTCCTCATTACACTTTTTCCAATTCAATCAACTCCTTAACTACTCCTCTCCCCTTCATCGCAACCAAACTCAACCTCGAACCAACACATTATCAGCCAACTCCTTTAATCATCTCTTTCCCTCTCTTCTTTAACAACACTGTTCCGTCTAGTCTCTCACAATCATCACAATGGAGTTCAACATTACTACAATGTCTAATTTGCAATCCCCAACACTTTATATAATTAACAATATTTTGCATGATTTATATGCAATAGCCTGGTTCATAGCTTGGTATTAGAGGAACGAATATGCTAAGTCGAAAAGATGGATACTTTTCCATTAGGGTGACTGAAGGTGAATTGCCTCTTCCCCAATATCTTTCTCTTCTCCTCTGTTACCCTTCTTTTCCTCTGTTTTGATTTTCTTTTTTAGTCTCATCTTCTTATTCTTCATCTTTTTCTCTTCATTTCTTTGTCCTCAACTCTAGCAGGAGTGGTGGGTTTTTGGAGATAGCTAGAACGTTCTGGAATAGAATATTTATATTGGGATGGGTTTTTGGAGCAGAATCAACATAACTCAATAGCGGAGGATGAGCAAGTATTTGCTACAAATTGGGTTTAAGGTTCAGAGAACCATTACAGAAGATAAGGTATGGGTTTGAGTTATAACAAAATGGGTTTAAGGGTGTAAACGAGTGTGAAATTACATGACTAATAGGTTTGAGTTTATAATGAAAGGGGTCTAACTGTTCAAGCAATACAAAAGTTGAACAAAATGGAATATTCCCTCACCATATTAACAACAACTAACTAGGGCAGTGGTGGATCCATGTGTCCACCTAGGGTGCAAGTGCATCCTAATATTCTTAAAATTTTATCTAAAACCCTAAA